CGGTCGTTTCGTGCTACCGACGCATGGCAGAAATCCCGATTTTCGTCGAAAATTGCCGCTTCGACGGTCGTGTCGTGCTTCCGACGCATAGGTTTGGTTCTCCTGCGAAAATGGCTTCATTTCACGGACTTTGATTTTTCACAGTTCCCTACGTCGATTGAGACACGTACGAGCCCGGGCCGTTTCGCAAAATCCGCTCCTCGAAGACAAAATCGGGGCCGGAAAAAAATGCCGTTCCATGTTTCGTACGTATAAAACTAAGGGATTCCGCGCCTCCGCAACAAAATCCACGGCGATGCGACGCGCGTTCTTCGCGCTCGAAGTCTCGTTAAATGCGTCGAGCGTTTCTACGGTGCCGCATTTACGTACCCCGAAATCGACGAGTGCGGACATCCCGACCGTCGCGTTATGCTCCCGAAGCATATGGCACAAAAACCCGACAAAAAAACCGGAATTTTTTTCGTCGGCCCCGAGACGCCCTCCCCACGCCTAGCACTCCCTAGTGCTACGCGCTAGTGATCCACGCGCCAGGACTACGGGACTACGGGAGGGGAAATCCGTGATAGCGGTCGGGCCGCGCGACCGTCGTTGCCCGTGTGGTGCGGCGCCGCTGCCCAATGACCCTGGACAAAGCGGCGGCTGGAACGAGACGGGCTGTGTTGAAGTTCAAGTTGAACCTGCGATCTATGTTGAACTTCAAGTTGAAGTCACGCCGAAGCACGTCTTTGCGCCGGACTCGCGCGTCCTCGACGAAGCGAGAGATTCACAACGATCCAAACACGATGCCTTCGCAAAATTCCGTCTGGAAACAGCTTCCCAATGTTTCTTGACGTCGACGCGGCGCGCGGCCGCTTCGCCGGGCGCATCGGCGCGGCCGCGTTCGCGGCGCACTTCGGCGGCGCCTGGGCGGACGGCGGGGGGCTCGGGCACCTCCACGTCGTCGGGACGAGCGCCATGGAGCGCGAGACCATCGGCGTGGCCATGGGCTCGGGCATCATCAAGGAGAAGATCCGCGGCCACCCGCTGTTCCTCCTCATGCTCGGGCCCGGCGGCGACAACGCGCCCTGGCGGCCCCTGTCGCCGCCGGAGGACGGGGAACTGTAAGGTTGTGGATTGTTGCGTGGTTTTCCCCAACGTCCCGAAAACCATTCCTTGCCCTCGTGTGTGGGACGTCGCACGCTTCGTTAAACAGCCACATTCGAGGACATCGACGTCGTCGGCGGTGAAGCACGCGCCTGAATTCGCCCGCCGAAGTTCAGGCCTTCCCGGTCACGTCCTCGAGCGACGCCCCTCGAGTGGCTCTCGAGCGTGACAAGAAGGCCGGGTCGAAACGCCTCGATATCGACAAACACCTTGTCGGCGATCCCTCTGATTAACTCGAACCTGCTATCGCCATCTGCGTCAGATAGGATGGCCGACGGTCTCCTGCCCGTCGCGTCGTTCGTGCGGACCGTGTGGACCATGGTGACGAACGAGGAGGAGACGCTCATCGCCTGGTCGCCGGACGGCGAGCGCATCGTCATCGCGGATCCGCCGAGATTCGCGGCCGAGGTCTGCCCGCGCTACTTCCGCCACAACAAGTGGACGTCCTTCGCGCGCCTCCTGAACATGTACGAGTTCCACAAGTGCCCCATCAACCCCGTCGACGGGTCGAACCGCGTCGAGTTCCGCCACGCGCACTTCCGCCGCGGCGCCGAGGGCGAGCTCCACCGCATCGAGCGGAAGAAGTGGACGCCCAAGTCCGAGGCGAAGACGCCGGCCCAGAAGCGGGCGCGCGCCGACAACAAGGCCAACAACAAGGCCGCGCCCGAGTCCGAGGTGCCCGGGCGCGCGCCGCTCCCCGGGCCGCCGCCGCTGCCGGACCTGGCCGAGCCCGACGTCGCCGCTTGGAAGAGCCGCTGCGCCGAGCTCGAGCTGCAGGTCGACATGCTCCGGAAGGAGAACGAGCGCCTCAGCGCCGAGATCGCCGCGCGCGACGCGAGCGCCTGGTGCGCGCCGACGTTCGTCCGGCCCGCGGCGGCCGCCGCCGGCGACGACGGCGACGGCGTCCCGGAGCTGGACTCGGCGACGTTCATGGAGTTGATGACGTCGCCGTTCTCCTGCTTCACGCCCCGCGGGGCCGAGAGCCCCGTGACCCCGATGGCCGTCGAGTGAGCAAGGTACCCTCAAGTGTCGCGGAGCCAACCGGCAAGATCCCCTCCGCGATCGCACCATCGCCGCCGCCTCGCGAGGCGCAACATTTTCTGCTTGAAACCCTGTGTGTCCTCCCGAGGCGGCCGCGTACGAACCATATGTAACAAGTACCCCTCCATCTTTCCTCTTTTGGGGGGTCGTGGCTCTCTGGGCTTTCTCGCGCGTTTTTCTTCACGACGCGGCGCAGGGGATGGGTACGCCGGTTTTTTGTGGGTGCACCTGTACATGGTCGTCGAGCACGATGCGCAGCGTGTGAGGAGAGTTCGACTTCGAATTCCCTTCGACGGCGGAGTTTTCCTGCGCGAATCAAATTTCAAGGTTGGTTCAAACGTCAACGAAAATCGACGACTCGTGCAGTCGCGTCGCTCGCTTTCTTTGCTCGGTGCGCGGGAACGTCGCGGTCGTGTGTGCTATCGACAAACGCGCCCCAAGACTCGCTCACGCGACGCCTCACGCATCCGAGTCGCCAAGGGCTCCGGGGAACTCGCTCAGTTGACCCCGAGCCCCGTCGTCGGCGATTCTCCCGCCTCGGAACATACACTTGCACCCGGGGGAAAACTCGATCTTCAGATGGACGCCCTCCTCGCCGCGTCCGCGCCCGAGGCGCCCCAGGCGCCCCGGGACCGGTCGAAGCCCGTCGCGAACGTCGAGCGGCCCGTCGCGTCCTTCGCGCGGACCGGCGTCTCCGCGCGGCCGAAACGTCAAAACCCCCGTCGCCCCCCCCGCATCTGCGCGCGGCCGAAACGTCAAAACCCCCGCCGCCCCCCCCGCAGGTGCGCACGCTCTTCTCGCTGTGCAACGGGCCCTTCGCGGAGACGCTCATCGCCTGGAGCGACGACGGCGAGCGCATCGTCATCGCGGACCCGCCGCGGTTCGCGGAGGAGATCTGCCCCAAGTTCTTCCGCCACAAGAACTGGACGAGCTTCTCGCGGCTCCTGAACATGTACGAGTTCCACAAGATCCCCGCGCCGCCCGCGCTCACGCCCCTCGTCGAGTTCAAGCACCCCGCCTTCCGGCGCGACGGCGGCCGCGACATCTGGAAGGTCGTGCGCAAGAAGTCGCCGTCCGAGTCCGCGGGCGCGACGAAGCGGGCGCGCGTCGGCGGCCGCCCGCCGAAGAAGGCCATCGTGAGCCGCGTGCTCATGCCCGCGGTGCCCCGGGGCCCCGCGGGCGCGCCACCGCCGCCGCCGCCGCGCGTCGTGTCCCAGGCCGTCGCGCCGTACCCCGGCGGCCGCGGCGGGACCGCCGCGGCCGGCGTCCGCGTGCGCCTCGGCGACGAGGACCTCGGGCGCCGCGACCTGCCCCCCAAGCGCGACGGCCGCCGGTCCTACGCCGGCGGCGCGCCGCCGCCCAAGGTCGCGCGCGTCGACGACTGGCGGCGCCGCGTCGCCGACCTCGAGGCCGAGGTCGCGAGCCTCCGGTCCGAGAACGCGCTGCTCCGGCGGACGTCGGCGGCGGCGGCGGAGATGATCCTCTTCAGCCGCGACGGCGTGTCGCGCGACGGCTCGGGGTCGGAAAACGCGTCGCCGCGCGAGCCCGACAGCGGCTACGCGTCGCCCGACGCGTCCGGCGGCGACGACCCGTCGCTCGACGCGGCGTCGACGTCCTTCGACGCCGCGCCGATGGACGTCGACGCGGCGCCGGCGCCGCTGCCGGAGATCGTCCCGGACAGCGTCGAGGTCGTCGCGGCCGCGGACGACGGCGCGCCCGCCGTCGAGGTCGCGGCCGCGGCCGCGCCCCCGGCGCCCCGCGCGCCCGCCGCGCCGGCGCCGTCGGCCGCCGAGCCGGGGCCCGCCGGCGCCGCGAACCCGGCGCTCGCGAACTGGCAGCGCTACGGCGGCGGCCGCGCGGCCGAGCCGCTCCCGCCGCCGCCGCCGGCGAGCGGCGCCGTCCTGTGTGGAAATCAACACTGGTTTGGGGGGTCCCCACCAAACTTCAGAACTCTCTAGCTCGATCAAATCGAAGTCGATTTGGTTGATTTTTGGATGAATCGATTGCTCTCGTCGAGTTTCGAAGCACGGCAGACGAGCTTGCGTCGACACCGTCGCACGCGCTCATTGAAGTCGGGTTGAACACACAGGCGCCGTCTGGAAGCCGGCCTACGGCCGCCACCGGAGCGGGCCCTACGACCGCCACGTCGTCGAGGTCCCGCCGCCGGAGCCCAAGCCCCTCGCCGCGCTCCGCGAGGAGCAGCAGGCCGCCGACGACCAGGACGCCGCCGACGACCAGGACGCCGCCGACGAGCCCGAGGCCGCCGACGAGCCCGAGGCCGCCGACGACGAGCCGGCCGCCGACGACGAGCCCGAGGCCGCCGACGAACCCGAGGCCGCGCCCAAGCCGCTCACGGGCCGCGCGGCGGTGGCCGCGCTCCGCGAGCAAAAGGCCGCCGAGCAGCAGGTCGCCGAGGCGCCGGCCGCCCACGAGCCCGAGGAGGCCGCCGCGCCCAAGCCGCTCACGGGCCGCGCCGCGGTCGCCGCGCTCCGCGAGCAGCAGGCCGCGGCGCGCGCGGAGGAGGCCGCCGAGCAGGAGGACGCCGAAGCGACGGAAGGCTCCGAGCCCGACGCCCCGCGAAACCCCAGCCCCATCCCCGAGGAGCTCGCCGCGTAGCCGCCGGCGCGCGGCGCCTCGGGCCCCGAAAGCGCTTCACGCCCGAGGCGCGCTAACTCCTCTCCGACTTACGTCGCGGCCTTGAGTCCCTGGACGCGCGCGCGCCAGCGCTCGAAGGCCGTCGCCGGCCGCGCGTCCGTCGGGGCCGGGGTCAGCCAGCGCGGTTCGACGTCCGCCGTCCGCGGCGCCGTCGTCGTCGTCCTCCGCGTCGTCTTCTTCTTCGGCTCGCGCTTCCGCGCGGCCTTCACCGCCGCGAGCGCCGCGTCCGCGTCGCGGAACGCGTTGAGCAGCAGGTCCGCGATGTAGAAGCGGCCGAGATCCGCGAAATGGTACGCGTTTTTCTTCTCCGGGTGCGTGAGAGCGCCGGCGACGACGCCGTCGATGGAGCCCGCCGTCGTCGGGACGATGACCGTGTTCGGCACGCCCGCGCCGTAGCGGAGCACGTCGGCCTCGTGCCTGCGGAGCCGCTGTTCGTCGGACCGCGCGCGGTGCGGCACCGTGACCAGGAAAAACGTCGTCGTATCCATCAGCTTGGGCCGCGCGGCCTGGAGCTGGCGGATGCGCTTGAAGAGGAAGCGAAACGACTCGGGCGCGCCCGCCTCGGTGAGACACAGGACGACGTAGTCGGGAAAGAAGCCTTCCTCGCACACCGACCCTTTTTGGCCGTAGTCGCCCGGGTCCGCCCACAAACGCAGCAAGTCGTGGAGCGCGGGCTCGGACGGCGAGTTCGTGAAGGCGTAGGTGATCATCGCCGACGCGTTCGTGGGCCGCCGGTGGGCGACGCAGCAGTTGAGCGCCGCGCGCGCGGCGTCCTTGCCGTCCTTCGTCCGCTTCTGGGATCGCACGCAGTCGTCGCTCACGAGCTTCTCCCGCGAGAACTCCGCCGACGCCGCGCCGTGGGCGACCCAGATGGGCGATTCCGCGTTGGGCAGCGCGCCGGCGCCGACGGCGACGTCGACGACCGCCGCGGCCTCGGCGGGCCGCGAGAGGAGCGAGTGGAGCGCGGAGACAGCGTGCCGCGTCACGCTGTTCCCGAGCAGGACGGCGTGCTTCCCGCGGAGCGCGTCGAAGGCGTCGCCGTGGCCGCCGAAGTGGGTCATGTTGGGGCAACTCGGCCAGTCGAAGCTCGCCGTTTTGTCGGTGACCGTCCACTGCACGGGGCACGGCGCCGCGACGGCCTCCGGCTCCGACTTCTTCGCCGCGGCGCAGGCGGCGACGAGGAGGACACGAAGCGCGCGCATCGGTGTCGCGTCTGCTCCTCGCTGCGGCTCCTCACGGCCTAGGTACGCATCGGGTCGACTTTTTTTCCCAAGCCATCCCTCGTCCTTCGGCAGATCTTCGGCCCGCGAAGCTATTGATGCAGGCAACACCGGCGCGCACGCGTAGGCCTACGCGTATCACGGCGACCTCAGCATCTCCTCAGCTTACCGCGACCTCGCGCTCTCCTCCTTTCGACCCATACAGAGCAGGAAGGAAGGATGCGAGGACGCGCATCTCCTCGGACGCGTGGGTCCACAGCGCCCGGCCGAGCGCTCCCGGAGGTCCGCCGCCGATCGCGCGCGCGGCGACGGAGCGGACCGCCGTCGTGTTCGCGAGCGCGCGGACGAGGCCGCCGGCGAAGCTGAGAGACGACCCGGCGGAGACGTCGACGTCGAAGAGCCAGAACCGCGACACGAGTCGAAAGCCGCCGCCGTCGCGCGGCAGCGTGAAATGGATGAAATGCCCCACGTCGAGCCAGCCCAGCACGGCGTCGTGCGTCGCGATGCGCGCCGTCAGCGCGACCTCGCAGCCCGCGGCCGCCTTCTCCGCCGCGCCGACGCCGTAGG